CGGTAAACTGGGGGGTTCGGAATAAATATAAATGTTATTCTGAAATGTAACATTTTATGAAACGTAATTCGTAGCAACTGCACTAAACAGAAAACGAGATAATTTTGAACAAAATTGTAAATTTCAAGAATAACCCTTCGAATAATCCATTATAATCTATTCTAATCGATTAAAAATGGATTATTTTGCCTCGAAAACAAGTTTCATTTTCTTTCAAAAATAATCAATTATAATCGATTATAATCGATTATCTTCGGATTTTATTGATTAGAAAAATAGTTTCATTATAATCCATTTTTAATCGATTATAATCGATTATTATTGAAATTTATTGAGACAGACCACGAAAACTCAATATAATCGATTATTATCCATGGAACTCCGGTGCGGGTTTAACTAGTAAACTAGTAAGAAAAAAATTTAAGAAACAAAAACGCTGAACCATTAATTCAACTGCTGGAAAAACAATTAAGCGTTATTTGGGCTGCTACAAATGAAAACAACTATTTTTTTTTAAAAGCTAGTTATACAGTTTCCATATATGAGAATTGCATGATTAGCATTTTTTATAGAATGAAACAATATTTGACAAAAGATTCCAAAAACTCTAACTCGTAAGTAGGTAATTCAACACTTCAATGTTAAACTTGATGTAAATCGTTGCAGTGCCTCATTTGTTTTAAATAGACTTTCTCAGTCATTATCAAAAATTTCAAAAAAAAAACACGGGTGTTTTTCTCAGAATCAACTGACAAAAGCGTTCTTGGTTTTCGTTCAGCAAAGGTTTATTTCAAGTCAGTTTTTTTTATGTTTCCTTGTGTTTATTACTATTTTCCAGCTGTCAGTTGGCTATGTTTGTTGCACAGCAACTGCTTATCCTTTGATTTTAAGATGTCTTTTTCATTCATGAAATTTATTAATGGTTAAATTGCGTTCCTTTGATGATTTTTGCGGCTCTGTTTCAGTTTCCCAAACACTTGTTAAATTACAACATAAAGTTGTTGATAAATTACAGGAATAAATAGTAGAAATCGAACACTAGACCTAGGTCCTCAAGGCTTATTAGCACTAGCAACCTCAAAAACTCCCATACTTCGGTGCACTTCGTCTAGTGCTAATAAGCCTTGAAGTCCTTAGGTCTAGTGTTCGATTTCTACTATTTAATCCGGTAATTTATTTTTTTGAAATTTTGCTTGGCTTAAGGGATTTCGACGTATCATATATCGATTTAGTTAACAAATTTTACGTCGTTTCAAAAAACGTATTTGATCATTTACTATATTTTCGAGGCTAGAGTTTTCTTAATTAGCATCATTTTTGTGTTGAAGGAGAGAAAGTTTAGTTTCAAAAAATGCTAGTCATACAGTACACATAGTATAGGAACTAACGTATGACTCGTGTTTTTTCATAGACAAATTGTATGACAAACATTTTTTGTGTATGGCGGTCAACCCGATATATATATTAAATTTTTTTCAAATTTACCTCTGCTACTTTTGAAGCTGCTTTGCTGCTTATCGTCGGCTTCATCTGGTCTTTTTTTCTCACTTGAAGTACTGCAACGAAGATCGCCAGATGAAATCTGCTTTGTACTATTCTTTTTAGTGTACAGTTTCGGCCTGGGAGTGACTTCAGCGCTTGAGGTGCTAACCGAATTCAAGTCGGATTCATGTGTCGTTCGTCTTTTTTCTCCCTGTTCCTTTTCAGCATATTGACAGTTCAGCAGCTTTTCGCGTTCCGAGCTTGGAATTGACACGACTATATTCCCGCCCTTTGTCAGTTTTTCGTGCGGCATTTTGGGTTTCTTTTTACGGAACTCGCCTTCGGAGCTTGGAGTTTTTATGTCAAGCGCTGAATAGCTTTGTGATCTTCGCATTTCGTCATTATTGTATCTCTGCGGGTCATTTTTATAGGGATTTGAGAATTTGTTTCTGCTTCTCGACTGTCGCATTAACGCCTGCTCCAATGCATGCAAATGTTCTTTCGACCACGCTTTCTGTCGTTTCTTGAAATCGGTCACATCGCTTTTCACAATTTGATCCCCCGAAGTTCTTTCACTGCTTTCGCTGTCGTCCGGGTAATCCGCATGGCTTTTTCTGGAAACCCGACCATTCCAGTGAGACTTCATGCCAGTAACTGAAATTTTGGGTTCGTTCTCAACCGATTTTTTCCGATCCTTTTCCACGAAATCGCACGTGGGTAAATTCCCCTCCGTAGAGTCTGAAGCAAGCAGACATGTAAACGAGTTTGATCGTTTCTTTTGTTCACACCATCGTGATTCGTCTTTTCTTCGTCGCAGAGTTTCCAAATGCGACTCAAACTCGATTCTTTTTCGTTCTGATTCAATCGCCTCGCGGTGTTTTCGCTCCCAAAACGACCGCTTAGCATTCAGCGGCAAATATTCTAGAGCGAAAGCTTCTTCGTCGACCGAAACTGCATCGAGAGTGTCATCGGGATCAGCAAGACTCCCGAAAGCGCTGTCGTCTCCAGTATCGGGACTGTGCCGAAACCCATTCGGAGCCGAGTAGAGATCGTGTGATAATGAGGGCGAGATTAAGAAAGAACTCCCTGGCGATTGAGGAGAGTTGAGCTCATCTTGTTTTTGAGCACCTGAAATGCCTCGCTGTGGAGAATCGCTGTTTGCTTGATTATCTCGTTGCGATTGCTTGGAGAATTTTTCTTGTCGCCTTTTGTGATATAGCTCGCGTTCTTTTGCTTCCTGTTAAAATGATCCGAGTTTAAATTTTTTTTTGTAGAGGACGAATTTAAACCTCATGAAACTTTTAGTTGCAGCTTGACTCTAATACTTACAGTTGCTTCCTGAACTTAATATATACTGGCGCCTATATTAGGTTTCGTAAATTATTATCACCGGGGTCAAGGTGGGCGACTAATTTTTCTACATTGCCGGTCGCGTCGATGTTAATTCCTCCACCGAAAATCCTTAGTCTGGACAAGATATTAAGTCGCGGACAAATTCTAGAAACACCGTATCTCGGTGGCGACGGTCGAAAAACTACTATTTTTCTTTGATCATCTTGCTGTTTTGGATGCCACGGACAAATATCTTTAAAAAATTTTAAATTAAAATCGCTCCAACAACAGGCATCTTTGCAGAATTCGCAAAAAAATTGAGGAATTTTCAGCAAAATTTGTAGAATCCCGAGCAGTTTGTGGAATCTACAAACAAATAATAATAGAAGTGTTTAGAAAACTTAAGCTGTCGTGGAATCCCCAACTGTAAGTGGAATCCGCAAATTTTAAGCGGATTCCGCAAATTGTAAGTGGATTCTGCATAAATTTGCGGAATCCGCTCACGTTTGGGGAACCCGGAACAACTACCTATGTTCACACGTTGCTGAAATGTGCCAAAAAACTTAGGTTACAGGTATTTGTGCGCGGAATCCACGGAAATTTTTGTACGTTTAAAGACTTGTCTCTGGAATCCAGGAACATTAGTCGCGCCGGTCACGGTTAACTGTCCCTTCTGTTACCGCGGTTGCCGTTAATTTTCCTTCGGTCGTTCCGGCCGCGGACAAATTGCCTCGGTCCGAAAAGTCTCCAAATACCAAATTTTGGTCGAGGATAAAACCACAACCTCGACCCGCGCAGCAAAAGGGCGCTTGAAAAGGCCTCTTGTTTCTTGAGCTTTTATATCATACTCTGATTTTAAGATGCAGCTTTAAAATTTTAAGAGAGTTTTAGGTTGTCAAAAAGTGGAAGTGAGACTAAATTTGGTTGCCTTTATCTCATGTTCGATTGCAGCCAGAACATCGTTGGTTGATTTGGTACGGGTGAGACCACTTTGACCGAGTGAGTCACCACCTCCAGCTTGACTCATCCACCGCTCACGCATCAGTCGCTGTCTCTCGCTAATAGACGACATCTTTTCTCGTTTTAATTCACTTCAGTAAATATTAACTCAAATAATCGGAGCCATTTCATAACAAATTTCGCCCACAATGAGCTTAGTTCAGACAGCAGTTACTACTCGCATGGTAAGATTAAATAACAAACATGGGAAAAAATTCGTTGTTCTCTCAGATTAACTAGCACATAGAAGCGGAGTTGTACAAATGAACCGAATCAAAAATGAGAAAACGAAAATCAAAGTACTTTGAATTTTCAAAGTTTTCTTCAAATTACTAACATTTATATTTCACTATAGAGCTCAGAGATTTATAAACACTAAATAAAACTAAAAAATGGATGCATTAAGCTATCCAAAAAATTGTATGGCGATCAAATGAATGCATCAAAGTTGTTTTGCAAAAATAGTTTGTGCTTATAATTTTTTGTTGAATTTCAAGATGTAGTTGGAAACACTTGTTGGCCATATTTCACATTTGCCATTTTTTTCTGAGCGCTTAAAAAATTGCACAGCGTTTGAGTGCTTAAAACTGGAACGTACTGCGCTTGAGACTTGTCCTGTTTTTCTTTTCATTTGCTCAATAAGTTTGAATGGATGCGGATTCATGGCTTAACAGTTGGATGTCCAAACAAGCAAACTGATGTGTACGATGTTGGAACTGAGGGTGGCACACAGCTGAGGCCGGTCATCTCAACAAAATGGACCAATTGTGTTCCATTGAACATTTGATACATAAATAGACCTGGACAATGCGAGCTTTTTCAGGAATAGGTTGATATCAAAGCGTTAGAATAAAGTTATCGGATTGTTCGTATAGAGGCGGCGTTAAGGCGGAGTCCTAAATGTTCCAACTGCCTTTTAAGTGGTTTCAAGTAGTTTGAAAAGTTGTTGTTCCGACTTTTGACACGAAAGTAACGGGGATCAAGTTAACATCCCCCCCCCCCCCCCAACTAGACCAAAAGTTAAGATCCTCCACCCCAGCTAAATTAAATTTGCTAAGCGCTGCATGTAAAATGCTCGATTCTGATTGGCTGAAAATTCCCAACTTAGAACCAACTTAAAATCCTCCCCCTAAACGTGCTTAGGGGGAGGATGTTAACTTGGTCCTTTTTCATATCATTCGAAAGACATTGTGTTCCTGAGCTTAATTTGCAAAGATATTTCACCTGTGATCAATTTTGTAAAGTTATGGGGGTTTAAAAATTGTCATTTTGGCCGGTTTGGGACCATTAACGCGCGATATATTTCGCGCTATTAACGCGTACGCGGAGATTTAATCCTTTTTAGAAATGCCATATTATTCTTATATTATAAGCCATAAAAGGCTTATATGCCATAATTGATTTGTTAATAAGAACGAAATTTATCAGTTTTATCACTTAATATGTTTTATATGTTGGGGGATGTTTTTACAAAAAATAATCGCATTTTAAAAAAAATAATTCTATCATTTTATATAATTTAAATTTTTTAATGATATCACTGCTCCATAAAACTTAAAAGGCAGTCGGAACACTCAGGGTTTCGACCTGATACAGGCAGTCTTGATTGAAGTTTTGCAATGATTCGTGAAAACGAATTTTAGGTCGGCAGATCCATCAAATTGCACAAAAATTGTATACATTGTAGTATTGCAAATACTACACGGACATAAAAGACTATTGTGTAAATTATTTACATAAGTTTAGAATGGACTCCTTTCCATTTTTAGTTTGTCAACCTTTCAAATACTAGTCCGATTTTTTTCATTTTTTCAAGGCTGATTTCCTTTTAAAAAATCAATAATTTCCACAGAGTTTTTTGTCGGATATCAAATAAAAAATGTGTCGCCATAAAAGCTGGCCGGTTTAAATGCTCTGCTTTGAAAAGCAGACATTAGAGCGATAAGCACCCGGTCTTTGGAGCCTAAAAAACGCAAAAAATGTATAACAACTACAAATCAGAGACGGAATGAATAACGGCTTTTTAATATTAAAAACTTCAAAGACGAGACTACTCAAAACTTTCGAACACCTGGAAGATTAAAATTATCCGATGAAACAAAGTCTATGAAGATTAGAATTAGACAAAGATACTTTGAAGCATTCTTGCCTTAAAATTGAACCTTTGTAAAATCTTCATAACTTTTTATTCCCCTCTCATTTTGACTCGCTCAGTCGAGTTAACATTTTCCGGAATATATTTTTTTCTTTCTTTTGTCTCTTTCTATTATATAAACTCATTGAGATAGGATCTTAGATTTTGTAAAAAAATTCCTGAAAAATAAAAGCAGCAGCACGGATCTAAACGAACTGATAACCCAACACTCTGAGAAGCATTGTGGATAAATCAATCAGCAATCTAGACGCGGACTACAGGCAAATGAAGTGTTAGTTTAATTGTAAGTTTTAGGTATTGACCCCATCCCCATTGGTACTAAAGTCAGTTGTTCATTAATTGTTTAAACCATTTATGCTGAACTATCCATTATATTAATTCATACTCTTTTCTAACTCAAGTTTTATACTATAACTATTGCCAAGAAACTTGACGAATTAAGATGAGACTCATAACTTAGGATAGATTATTAATAAATCAACCAGCAATGACCGCTTCTAAGTTTGCTAGTAGGATATAACCTGTTTTTTCAGTTACCCACTAAATACATGCCGAAACATCAGTTTAAATGTATTATCATAATAATTGGCTAATTCCTGTATTCAACCAAGATGCTCAAAAACTTATTAAATATCTTCTTTCTTTTTTGGAGGGGGCTAAGTGGTCATATGTGCAATCTATGAGTACCCCGAATTGTATGATAAATTGAATTATTAATCACAAATGTATCCAACCATTCATGCTTGTTGCTATTTAACTCATTCTTTTATCATTTATCAAGGATTATCCTCAACTCTCCTTGAACTCATTTTACTTTTACCCACCTTAAACGTAACTTAAATCTAAATTACCCATCAGTAAAGCTAACAACTACTGGAACTAAGGGAGGAAATAACGAAAACCAAGAAGGAAGAACGGATTTGGGTGTTTTTTACTAAATCGTTGGTTTTTCATGACACGGTTGGAATACACAACTAAAACAATTAAAACAATAAACAATTAAAACACGCACTGAAACCAATCTCAAACGTTAACCACGTAGCAACAAACACCAAGTTTTAGTTTCAGCTCAAAAATACTATGGTCCACAACAAAAACTAAAGCTAAAACACAAACACATCCAATTTATATTGATAAAATACGTTTCATATGATAGCCTAAGCAACAAATATTTGATTTTTACCAGCCAAAATTTTAGGTTCCACTCTATGTTGCAGCTATAGGATCAAAAGTTTCAGTTAAAAAAATTAAAGTTTCCGAGCTAAATTTTAGTTTTCTGTAAACGGTATTGGGTAAAGCAGCGAAAGTTGAACTAGTGAAAACCAAATTTGTATACGAAAAGTTAAAAATCTGGCTTTAAATTGTAAATGTTTGTTAGTTTCCGCACTTAAAACACGCACTGAAACTAATCTCAAACGTTAACCACGTAGCAACAATAAACAATTAAAACACGCACTGAAACCAATCTCAAACGTTAATCACGTAGCAACAAACACCAAGTTTTAGTTTCAGCTCAAAAATACTATGGTCCACAACAAAAACTAAAGCTAAAACACAAACACATCCAATTTATATTGATAAAATACGTTTCATATGATAGCCTAAGCAACAAATATTTGATTTTTACCAGCCAAAATTTTAGGTTCCACTCTATGTTGCAGCTATAGGATCAAAAGTTTCAGTTAAAAAAATTAAAGTTTCCGAGCTAAATTTTAGTTTTCTGTAAACGGTATTGGGTAAAGCAGCGAAAGTTGAACTAGTGAAAATCAAATTTGTATACGAAAAAATAAAAAATTTGGCTTTAAATGGTAAATGTTTGTTATTTTCCGGTTTCATAAAACAAAAACTGATTTTGTAGTCTCTAAATTGAGCTCCAAACGCCAATTTTCGACTTTTTAGAGAAAACTAACGGTGTTAAAATCTACCAAACTAGTTTTCAATTTTGGGTCCCTAGGCTGAAACGTGCGTTTAAGAATTGGTGTTTTTGGTTTAAGACACGCAAATTTTGCGTCTCAAGTCAAAATATAGGTAGATAAAAGGAATCCTTAATGCACTAACCATTTTTCAAACTCAAGAATTTTCTAGAAGGTGTTAGTTTGAGCCCCCAAACTTATAGTTCCAGTCAACTAAAATCGACATTTTAGTCTAAAATTCTCAACTTCTTGGCAATTTTATTGCTCGATTAGAAAAATATTAGAGATAGCAACCTCAATTTTCAATTCCAAATTTTAAAAACCAAGTGGTCAAACCATAGTTTCAGTTCTAAAAACCATAGTTTAAGCGCCAAAAATTTAGCTTTCTGCAAACAAATTTGTAATTTTGAAGTTACAAACTTGTTCCTAATTCTAATTTACACTGGACCAATTATCAAAAACAAACTTTTTATTTTCATGTATAGAGTTTGAGAGAGTTTGAGGATTTTAGGTTTGAGGTTTCAAAAACTAGGTTTAAGATATCAAAACATTAATTTTTCTTAAAATTTTTTGCACGATAAAGCATAAACCAAGTTTACTAAAGCTTCTAGAAAACTGTAAGATACAAAAATTTCATTGTCAGCTACACGTAGTCTGAAATTTTAACAAAAAACTAAAATTTTAAGCCAATGATAACCTCAGAAGTCATATGATTATATTGTAATTATAAAAAAGACATCAATAAGATTCTCAAAAACAACGTTTCAGGTTTCTGCTAGGGTTTCAGCACACAAAACTTAATAATTTCAAAAAATTCAAAAATATTCATCTTTCCACCTTTTTCTTATATTTATTTTCTTATTCCATTATTAATAGCCTTTGATAATTATCAACAAATCCTAAGAGGTTTTCAATACACCAGTACAAACCAATCAAATAACTAACTTAGATTAAGAAAAACAAAAATAATCACCGTCAAAAACACATTTTAAAGTTGACGTCAGCACAATAAATTTAAAACTCAACTTAGGAAGCAAAGCCTCTAACATCATATGGTATATTACTATAACAGTATCCTATCAAAACACCCTAACGACGATATTTTCCAGAAATAGACACAATTCTTCAGCAATCAAAAACACCAAATAGTAAAATTTATATACCGCAAGAACGATTAACTGCTTCATTTCCAATCGCTTTTTACTTCATTTTATACCCAAACATCGAAAATAAAGAAATTGAATGACTTAAATTTTTCCTGAACAAAATCTGAATTAACCGAAAAAATTAGTAACAAATTCATTAGTAAAATTTAGTATTTTATAAAAATTTTCATCACCGCCTAAATAAATACCTGTCTTAAAAATGATGTAGAATGCTATGACCAACTTTTATCAAATAAAAACAACAGCATTTAGTTTGAAACTGACATTAAAAAATATATCCACAAAAATTAGTTGGTACATTAGCAATATCCAAAAGGATCAAGTCAAAATTTTGTGGAAACATCCGAACAAAAATAATCACGAAGTAACTATTCTTTC